AACGGAAGAAGGGCTGGATGTTTTGGTGAAAGCAAATTAAGCCAGACCCCCAATCTCAGTCCAAAGATGTAACCATGTGATGTAGGCAGTGATCGAATCTGCAGTGGTCCGCTAAACACTTTGAAGATGCATGAAGGTCAGAGGTTTAAACAGCAATGTGTTCTGGTTGCCAAAAACATGTGTTCATCACGTGACAGAAACTGCCCAGAACACCATTGGTACCCATCTCCTGGCATCAGTCATAAGATGAGGTGCTTGAGCAGCACCCATGGGATATTAAAAGATAATACCCACAAAGTCCAGCTCAGTGCGCCTTTAAAAAAAAATTGGCTTTAACATCAATTCTAGCTAAATGGATATTGTGGAGCTATAGCTTTTCTTTATTTGCAAAATGTTAAATATGAAGACCTTTTTGGATTTTTGACGTTGACATCAAATTTGGTATACAGCCTTTGAGAGACCGAAATGAACATTTCTCTCAAAAATAAGCATGTTCATACGGAAAACATATCATGGTTGGGGCTAAGAGGTGATGAAGAATTACTGAAGTAGCTGCGACGACTGTTTGGCCTTTTCAAACCTGAAACCTGGACATTGCATTGGCGGTTTAATTTTGGCTGAGTCTTTTGAGGACAAAAAGGGCTGGAATCCCTAAATGACAGCATGTGTAAACTTTTATCACACAATCGTGTGCTGCACAATGATCTTTAAAAGTGTCTATGATTCAACACTTCCCAGTCATCAAATCTTATGTTTCGTGCTACCATTAAGACATGTAATTGACATGATATTGATAAATAGCCAGTTTATTTTCTGCTTTTGAAATCAGTAAATCAAGCTGATTCTTCTCTTTAACATTTTAAAACTGCCCAAGAAAAACTTAGCAAAAGCTTGGGCAAGTGTTTGACCTCTTCTGGTCCAAATGTGTACATGATACAAATTTGCCTGAGAAATTGATGAAGCTTTAACTCTGGTAGAATGGAAGTTTTGCCCTCATGCATTTTATCTTAACTGGTATGACAAATAGGTTGCCCCTTTATTTTATTCTATTGTATTGTATGTTATTGTATTCAAATATACCAGCTGCTATGACGACTTAATTTCCCTCCGGGGATGAATAAAGTAATCTATCTATCCATCTTCATATAAACAGAAATATACACCACTTGTTAGGATTATGGAGTTAGTATTTTATGAATGTTTTTTCCCCTATGCAAAGTGACTTCATAGCTATTGCAACATGCAGTGACAGTGTTACTGGAGACCTGGGTCAGCTCCTGTTGCAGTGTGAAATGCACACGACAGGCTATTTCTGGTCACTCAGCAGGATCAGATTTTCCTCAAAGAAAGCGTGATCTCCAGGAAAGGACCAGATCAGACTGCTAAATACTACTGAGTTCATCCATACACATACGATGGAGCTACATGGTTGACCAAGCAGAAAAGAGATTCCAAGAATGGGTTATATTTGTCATTAAATTAAAAGCAACTAGTGACAAAACAATAACTGCAAAAATGTATTACTTTGCAAAGCCATGCAGACACGGAAGACCACATATTGACATGTGCAGATGTTTTAACACTGACAGGCCTTCAGGATTAGTTGCTTGACAAATACTAGAAGATGTAAGCTTCTGTTGAGCCCCAAGGCAGAGACAGCGGAGGTAATGCGAGTGAGCTCCACATTTGTGAATCAGATGCCCTTGTGGACTTATTTGGACATTGGCTGGCGGCCAGCGAGCCCGGTTCACCGACGGTGTCCCTCTGAGCCTTTAATCTGCCCTCTGGCTGTAAATTAATGCCGCTCCTCATTCAACCAACTGGCCACACACACTCGTCTTAAATTGACCTCAGTGATCTGCTTGGTTAATGACGAGAAAAGTCACAGACAGTGCCGTCAGATTGGGCAGCAATACTACTACAACATCAACATACAAAAGCTAATTTAACAGAACAATGAGATGACAACTTTTCAAAACAAAGAGATGGGGGATGTGTTGTGGGTGTTGATTTCTGACAAGCTGTTATCATTGTAAATCCTTCTGGACATTTTTCAAATACTTCCAGTTGCTCAATGTTTAACCACCTAAGGGGATATTTCATTCCGTGTAAAACTGTGACATGAAGGCTCACCTAAATCATTTGAATCCATTAACTCAAGTCCTACTACTCTGCTTGGTACGAGCTCCTTGGTGCTTAAGGCACAGTAATAAATTGATTATGTGGTGCCGAATGAGGGCAAAGGTCTTTTAGACCACTCACTTCTATTTCTCTGAGAGCCCTCTTTTCCAGATGGACCCTTTTCTTTGAATGCAGCCAAGTGCCTCTAAGCACAGTAGGGAGATCCTCTGGCCAATCAGAGTAACTGGGAGGGGAGTGCCTGCATGGCTGGGAAACGTGACCGGAACAACGACCACTTGCAATTTTCGTGAAGAAGCAGCTCTTGGGGCTGCCATGCTGCGAGAGTGTGTAGCTCTGGAGGGACACCGCGTCACCGATCATGGCATCTGCTCCCAAACACTCAATGGTGACTCAGCGTCTATAGTAACGTTCACGTTAAACCAGTCTGGGAGTATCTGAACTCGACCCTTCCCTTCCATCGGCACTCTGTCTATTACGTGGAAAAGAAATCCTATCCTATCATGGTTGACTGGGCATGGAGCTTCCAGTGATCTGATCGCCGAGGAAACACGCGGTGACTACGGGCGACCACATGCTTGACATCTACAGTCATGTCCCCGCGTAGTTGAATTACGCAGATAAAAAAAAAAAAAACATTTGCGGCAAGTCGAAATGTCACAATCGCTTCACTGAACCCACTCTGACCACGTAAAACAGGTCGTTAAGTTCATTGTGACACATTCGTGTAATTTAATCAAACGACATTCCCAAAACTGATAAGGATGGGAATGAAAACACTACGCATCAATAAGGGTTAAAAAGGGATCGAGTCTGTGGACTGTTAATATATATAAGTGAGCTGACATATCATTAATAAAAATGTTTCGCTAGTGATAAAGCGGTTGTTGCACACCGGCTAATAGAACAGCCTGAGACAGAAGCATACTTCTTCTAGGATCTAGCTAGTAAGCTAGCTACAAACGACCTGCCAACTTGTTTTCAAGACGGCTTTTAAACAGTTTACCCACTTCTCTGTCGCCCACACACAAGTAACGGGTCATATTCATACCATGTTATATTATATTTACTGTCGTACATTTCCTGGGTGAAGAATGAATTACCAACCTCAGAGGGAAAGGGGGAGGTGGCCATTTTCGAGTGACGATGTTAACTAGCTTAGGAATAACGTGCTCTGGTGTCAGAAATGTGACTCTGACCCGTTAGCTAGCTACGGATGAATGAGAGATCACGGCGAGGGAACTACCTATCGAAAACAAGAGTCGATCGCATTTAAACGGCTACATGTCACGTATGAGCTGGAGGGGAACGAGGGCAAGCATGTGGCCGACAGCGCTTCGATATGCTGCCGAGGACTGAGAGCAGCCGAGCCGTTCAAATGACACGAACCTTGGGATAGTACGGAGGTCCCCGGTTCCTTTGGTCTCATCCTGCCGAGAGAACCACACCTCCAACAGCTTCTCGGTCCCCTCGAAGAAATGTGCACCGTTTTCTTCCATCGTGAGACAACAGACACCCAACAAAAATATTAAACGTCGCTTGTAACGTTTACAGCTTAATTAATCCTTCCTCGATCAGTTATAATTGAGTTGAGGTACAGTCCTTTAAACAATCCAGGTGTTGATTTTCTTGAGTTACCGTCTTCCCTTTTGCAGAGAATACCGTTAGCGAGTGCTAGCTAATATCGCCGGCCATACTGTGTAGAGCGCTGAATGCAGATGGCGCGGTGGCTTTATATCGCTGCCGCGGCCACGTCATTCTTACGTTAGGTAAACCCATTCGCCAGGCGCTGTATTGTGACATCTGGTTGGTCCGGAGACCCGTCAGTCACTGTAAAGACCACCCTCCCGTCACGTGACTTTTTGTGTCCGTCTACACGGGACGTTGTTGATACAAATGAAAGAACAGTGTCGTAAATTGCGTTTTAAAAGTTTTTCATAATGACATCACCGTATTTCACTTTCAACCAGCTCACCGGTTTCTAAAGGTGGGACTGTTTGATCTGCCTGTCGCGTAAGAGAAGAAATCCGCCTCAATCATATTTGAGCGATAACATACAATATTTATGCATCTGTCCATATGGGTTTCATCTACGTGTATGTTATCACTGCCACTGTCAGTACTGTGCATTCATTTATTGTCTGCACTTTGCGCGGACATTAACCATTACACAGGTTTTTACTCAAACATATGTGAAATTAATTGTACTAGTAATTTTCTAATGCCTTGCATGACACACGAGTCGAAATTCCAGTAACCAACTATTAAAATATAATAATAATAATAATAAAACATTTGTATGTGTTGAATTGCCATTATTAAACTACAACAAAAACAACAACAACAATAATAATCATTATAGTAAAACATTATTATCAAATAAAGCTCCTGAGACAGCTGCAGTAATGTCGCTGTCTATTTACACTTTCTCTGACAATCAAACAAAACGGTATATTTAATAGAAACCTGAGGACCGATTGTATTTATTGTATTACTTTGATAATAATTGGGGCGTGTTCTATAAAATCACTGCCAAGAAAAGTTCCGGAATCATTTCCGTATTTCTAAAAATCCAACTGTCCGTAGGTGTCGATGATGAAGGGACAGCTCTGGACTCACTGAAATCCAAACCACCGACGCCTGCATGTTTGAAGAGCGTTCATGAGTACGCACAGTGCAACAAACCGCAGCGAGAAACGCGCGTTGTAGTTTCCTTCATCTCGGCTTCCAACCTGGCGAAGCGAGGCGCCTGCTCAGAAACAACTCCACTACCCAGTGAGCCCTGCGCGCCAATTAGAAACGTCAACGAGCCAGTGAACATTAAGCGGAGCAGACCAAAATCCCAAACAAGGAAATGGTGGGGGAATAAAACGAGCAGATTATTTAATTAATGCATGTAATAATTAATATTTTATTTTATTGTAAATTAAGACGTATTTATGGGTTAAAATGGATTACGACTTCAAAACAAAGCTGGCGGCCGAGAGAGAGAGAGTAGAAGATCTGTTCGAATATGAAGGTTGCAAAGTGGGTCGAGGCACCTACGGGCACGTTTATAAAGCTAAACGCAAAGACGGGTAAGATAAACCGTGGACGTTGTTGTTTGTGCTCTCATCTCACTGACCACAGGCTGCATGCGCTCCACACACGGCTCGGTTGTGTTTAGAACGGGGCAGTAGATTGAACCCTGGCCGAAGAGCTAACCCGTGTTTCTGTGTTTTTGTTTTCATGTAACGCACTCACTCGTCAACGGTCCCCCCCCCCCCACCCACCACCACACTCCCCGTCCGCCTCCTCCTCCTCTCCACCCCCCAAAACAACACGCTAAAGCAGCAGCGGTGGTCTTAATGTTCGGACAAGTCTCTTCTTTATCGTTGCGAGTGAAAGCAGCCTGGTGTTGATGCATGGAAACCGAAGCCACCGCACGTCATTTCAAGCGATAGTGACAGTTCGGCGCCTTTTGCGTTGACAAGCTGCCCCCCCCACCCTCCTCCTCATTTAACACGATGCACTGCCAAACTTTTTTTGATCTTACGCCCACAGTGGGTAGTGATCTTGTTGTCTGACACTGTCAAGCATCGTCCATTCTAATGCATGTGCGATTAATGTACACGTTCTGACACGTCCCCCATGCTGTGCCAGCAGTGTCACTCCGCGCTGCTGGCTACGAGCTCCCACTTCGCAATAACACTTGGCAGTGTGGATTTTCTTCTGGTAGTAAAACTGAAATGTGCAAGTTTGCCAAAAGGTTAATCACAATGCTCTGACAGATTGGAAAGAACGTGAATGCTCGGGCCACAGTGCATGAAAAGTTACTCCGTCTGCTTTCCTGCATGTTCCTCAGGATTTTGGTTTCTGTGGTAAACTGACGTTATTACAGTGATAAGATATTGACTATGTATAAACACTCCTTTTTAGTTGTCGTTGCTACACAATTGCAGCAATACAGTGTAATTACCATTGCACTAGCTTAAAATATTATTCCCTCCATGAAATAAACGTACCTTCGCTACCTTCTAGCATAACATGGACATGGAATGGGTACGAGCCTGATGTGAGTGATCATCAGATGTGATTGAAAAGGTGATGATGTGCAGTTACAGCCTCATGTGATATTGAATATTGTGTGATGTAACCTGGAAAACAAAAGAAGCTGATAGTGGATCAGTGCTCAGCACTGACCAAAAGCCTGAGTTCAACCCTTTGTATTAGGATATCAAAGTGGGATTGATGCAGCCACGAATCTGTGTTTTGCATGTGCTATAACCAGCCAAGGAATCAGATACGCCTTTGCTTCATTCATCATTGACTCACAGTTGTAAAGCTGAGTCAGGCAGTGCTCTGTTATCTTCTGGATGGATAATAGAGATGTGAGGTCAAAAGGTGATCGTAGGCAGGTCATGGGCAGCCTCCGTGCAGCAGTATTGACTGACAGCTTATGTAATGCTGCCAGGTAATACAGTCCTAAATGGTGTTTGATATATGTTATATAGATTTTCTATATGGTAGCTTACCTGAGGAATTCTTAAAAAATCCTGGTTGGAAATGTTGTCTTGTTTACTCCAGCTCATTATTGTTAAATGGAGGCACTATAGTAACTGTAGTGGATGTGACAATGATTCACTATGTAGTGCTTTGCCCCCACTTTGAAGTAAAACAAGCGGTCTGGCAGTATCATCGGATCAGCTGGTTTTTCAGCTAAAGAAAATCAATCAAAAGACCAACTTGTTCAAGTTTACTATCTACTAGCTTTAGGCAGACTCGTCCTGAGAAGCTCTTCTCAATATAAAAAATTCGAAAAGAATAACAGCATTCACACACAGGAATAAATCCTGGAAGGTTGTAGCACTGGGAAAGCCACTGTCCAGCTCCAAATGTGATTGAGTGAGGAAGTGACTTTTCCACAAAATTAGCTCTTTTGCTTGAACCAAACTCAGTGCTACCCAGTGATTATAAAATTATGATTTCAATAGACTAGAGCATGTGTCTTAATGCTGATTAACACAATGCAACACATTTTATACGTGTTCCATTGTCTGACAATATACAAAGAAAAGCATGCCAATAAGAACAGCTTGAATTGTATTAAAATACTGTAAATGTGAGGACAGAGAGTAAGCGGTGGAATATAAAGGTATGAAATCAACCTTACATTAGGCAGAATGCAACATGATGAAGTAAGCTAACTATCACATTGTGCAACAGTCTTCATGTCCTCAGCTTTGCACATTGACCATACATGGTCTGGCCATACAGTGGGTTTTGACCTAGTCTTATTAAGTTTTCCGAGCCATGGCCTTGACAGCTAAATTGCTTCAGATCAATACTGTGATACAATAATACAGCTTGTAATATGTACGATTGTGGTTGTTTCCCTACTCAGAAAAATTAACCCCATCACTGAAAGTGGAACCTGAACTGCTGTACGATAGCTACATTCTAATCTCATAGGTTGTAGGCAAAGCATCTAAGGATGGAGGACATCACATATTAAGAGACTGTGTGTCAATTCAGGGGCTGCATCCTTCGGAGTACGTGGCCTACCTGGCTGCGTAGACTGTCTCCCTAGTAGGCTGCGTAGACTGCAAAGGCCAATCCGAAATGAAATGGTCTGGTCTACAGAGGCCTTCTGTGATTGGCATTATTAGCTCATCCTGTCCTTATAGCTGTTGCCCAGCAACAGTGCTGAAGTTGGACACTACAAGAAAATTTAAATGTTTTTTAACACGTTTACCGTTCAGTTGAGTTGAAGTGTGATACTCAAGTATTGGATGTCTCATAGCATGCTGGTGCCATTACCTCTTTGAGAAACGGTCACTGAAGCACAAAGAATCCTGGGATAACTTCAGTGCATAAAAGTAGTTTCAATGTTTGCAGATTTTATACCTTCAGCCCAATTAAAAGCAAGTGTTCCCATGCTGGGAGGAAGTATGCCCTTGACAATGTGTGAAGACTTGTTGTTAACTAGATGGAACCTGTTCATGTTAATACATCTGGAATTGTGCCTACAGGAGCCTGGATTATAGCTGTATAGCTCCAACTGTGCATCTGTCTCCTGCAGACATGATGTTCTATTTCATAACCGTTGACTTACTGTGTAATGTATTTTACACCTTTATCAGGACAATTATTATTCTGTCACTTATACGCTGGCAAATGGTGAACATTTCACAAATCTCAGATTACTTTCAAATGTAACATTCACTTAGCAGAATGAATTGAATATTATTATGATATTATCATAAAGATTCAGTTCCTTACAAAAATGGCAAAAGGCCCCAAAGAAAACTTTGTTCAGACATTTGCAGTGCTGCTTGTCTCTGGTGGTTTTTAAGCATAGGGTTATGGTGCTGGCATTGCATAGTACTCACCAAAAGCCAGTCACCAGTGTGTCCACCAACCACACTCTTCCGAACTTTAAAAGAGACACTATGGGACTGTGCACGAACCACACTGGCGTCATTGCTGATTCTGGCACTGGCACTGAAGACACACACTAACCAGCGCAAAAACAATGCAGAGACCTCAAGGGCCCTCACCAACAAAGCGGACAGTGTTGCTTGGTCATGTGTGGCCTATCATTGGTTATAGAGTTTGATCTATTTGTAGCTGTTTTGGAAGTACTCTCGATAGGCTGGCTATTTATGAGGCAAAAACAACTGTGCCAAATGAAACATTTTAAGCACCGTCTAAATTTGGATTCTGAGCTTCGAATGTGACACTCCATCAGATTCACACTGACAACAAAAGAGTTGATTCAACCTTTGTTGATATTTCCCAGATGTTCTTTGGAGTTTTTTTTTTTTTTTTACTAGTAATTCCATTTGAGGAACACACAAAACATGCATGTGTTGTTGTGTTCAGCCAATGCCACTGGCCGCAGTGTTTAGGTACATTGTGTAGTCGTAGAGCAGATGTGATCCAACACAGCTGGTCTTTGGTGGTGTTGGCCTGGTTTGTCAGTGCCTTAAGAGTGCATATTCAGACCTGTTGCAAAGATCACTTTCCCTGGAAAACACTGGAGACATTTAATGTTTTGTCTTTTAGGAGAGAAAAGTGAAATGTGACAAGAACATATTAAGCTTTAGGTGTTATTCCCACCATGTTTTCTTTGCTGTTGGATAAACCTTTAGAGCTGACTGCTTTAATAATATGTTTGTTTACAGAGCAAATTATTAGATGTAATATGCTGTTTTTAGTGTCTGTGCAGCTCACTTAGTATTAGATATCTGTGCCTGACAGTTCCACTTAATCTACGACTCTCCAATGACAACTAGGCTGAAGGGGGTTTGATCTTAGAACTACCACGTCCTGTTTGATCTGTGCTGACTGCTATCAGAATTAAGTATTTGATGTCACCCAGAGACAACTTTGACTCTTCGCTGTGTTTTAAATAGAATGTGTTTCCTTTTAGACCTTCTTTTCTCCACTGCTCTATGATCAAAAAGGATTTCATACACTGCACCGCATATCTCAAATAATACATTTTCATCTGCTGAAGGTGCTAAGCCCTGAAGTGTCATATTTCACTTATTAGCAGTTTTTCATGCACAAATGCGATTCACAAGGACAAATGACTCCTGAACATGCAGAGGGGGAAACAACAGAGTGATGGCAGGGAATCATCTGTGGTGATTGAAAACTCACAAACTTTTTCTTGACCTCCAATGTCCTTCTGTCCCACCTGTTCCCTCAAGGCGTTCTTGAGATATCACAGTCATGTTTATGGGATGGACGGAAAAACAACCTGAAAAACATAACACCCCGCCAATTGCCGTTGCCGGCGTGGAGGCATACAAATAAAATGCCATCGCAAATCTTATCCAAAAACATTATTTCAACATTCTCCATTTTTCTTTAGCTGATAATGAACTATACTCGGCTCTCATATCAGAGCTCCACTGATAACAGTCCTGTGTGAAAATACTCAGTAATATTCAGGGTCAGATTAATGTTCAGATGGTAGTATGGAGTATTTGCTCTCTTACATAACATTGCAATATAATCATAGCTCTCAACAAGGAAAGGTGGTTAAGTTGGTTTCACGTGTGTGTTGGGCCTTATTGACAGAGTTTGATGATATTGAATGAACTCCAGGATCAAATCAATGAATGGGAACCAAACTGTTAGCGAGTCTAACACAAGCTTAATACCAGATAACTGTACTTTTCGTAATCTTTGCATTAGTTTTATCTGTAACACAGTGCTGCACTGTTTAGAAATGGACAATAACATGACATGATTTTTACGTTTAGCTCGTTTCAGACCTGGTGTTAACATCCATCTTAGGTCATCCACAAGTGGACAGGTCTGTGAGCACAACCGAGACACATTGAGATGTGATCACCCAGACCCACTGACAAAAAATAGTATATCCATGTAGAATTTTAGTGAGATAAAAGTCAATGAATGATTTACTCGCATATACACGTTTTGTCCTGGTCATGTATATGTAGTGTCTGATACATTGTTACACCAAACATCTAATGCTTATGTCTGTGAACTTATATGTTTCTATAACACTTGTCAGGAAGACAGTGCAAGCATGTTAGAGATTACTTTATTGATAAGTTATGTACTGCATGTCTTTTACATCACAATTCAAGAGGAACATTGCAGGAAATGGTAAATGGACTTTTACATAGAGCTTTTCCAGTCTTATCAACCCAAGCTCCAGAAAAGAGTGGGAACCCTGAAAATGTCAGGGTGTTTTCTGACGATGTATCTATCTTCTCTGTTTGTCCCTGCAGGAACGATGAGAAGGAGTATGCACTGAAACAAATAGAAGGCACTGGAATATCGATGTCTGCCTGCAGGGAAATTGCTGTAAGTTGATTGCATATTTTTGCATTTGTGTTTATTGCTGGGGCAGGTCACTGTTTAATTGTATCGGCCACATTTAAAGTCCAACATTTTATGAAATATGCTACTTTACTTTCTTTTTGAGATATGAGCTTGGAAGTGTGAAAACAGCAAACTGAAAAAAACTATGCTCAAATATAATTGCCATGTTGGATCCTGTTTAGTTGGCCCATACACACACAGAAATATAAAATGTATAAAGTTTCTGCTTTAGTGGCAACTAAAAGCTTAAATTCTCTAATTAACATTTTAAATGAAAATGACAATGAATGCTGTCTGACAGTGCATTGTGGTTATAGTGAATGCAAAATGAGTGCCTATGATTTATAAGCGTATTTATGAACTGCAATCTACTCTGAATCTTATAATGTGTGTGTCATGCCTGGGTGTTCAGATTGGACTGGACGGTGACACTGAAAAGGATTACGATGTTTTGATCCAGATAAGGTGTGAAGGGTTTCTAAGAACCTTGATTGGCTCTGTGAGCTGTGTGTCACAGCCTCTGCTACTGCTGACAGTGTTGGTGAATGAGTCAAATCAGCAGCCATACTACAACTAACTTCCCCTGGCAGCGAGCTGTCCACCTACAGTAACTTCAGCCCCAGATCACAATGATTCTAAAGACGTCAACAGCACAGTATGCTTTGAAATCCATCAGTGCCATGTCCTTACTTTCTGTAACTTGTTCGTCATGTTGGGAAAAAGCCACAAAGACACTGACTTGTTTGTGGCCACTGCCACAATATTAACACTGACTGCTACATATTGATTCTCAGTTTTTTTCCTCGAATGGCTAAAATCTTATTTCATTGTAAAGCTGCATATATTGATTCCTCAGCCCCTCCTGGCTTTCTCCCTTTTACTACACACAGACTGGCTAAAATCCACATCATTCTGTCTTTGTGAACAGAAAGGTTTATTTGCCCAGGGAAGTGAGATCTGATCACTGCAGACACATCCAGGACGCATTTTAATACTAGATGTGGTCTCACCACTAGAGATTTGATCGCTCAGGGCAGATGATAATACTAGGTCTGAACGGGGCCTATAAGATGCCACTGTACTGTATGCTGATACGACAAAAGGTTATTACTTACAGTAAGTTAAAGACACATGCCTTCCACAGCAGTTTCAAATATAAACTTCGGAGGATGTCTGCAGAATATAGTCTTGACTTTCTTGAGTTTGCCACGTGCACTACGCAGCAGGAAATTCTCCACTCAGGTGTTCACAACAACACTGTAATGTTGAATAGCAGAATGTAATGTATTACTTCTGCTGTGGAGATCACGTTTTCGTTTGCAGCACATCGACACTGGCATCAGCCCTTATTACCAAAAACTCTCTTGACGTCTTCATCTGTCTTCTATGTGTGTGGCACCACTTTTTCATCCTGAGATATTTGTATTCTTTTGTTTTTTTCGTTTTTTTCTGCCTTGTGATAGAAACTTCATCAACACGCCCACTTGCTAGTGGTGATTCCTATGGAGGATCTCCTGTTGTCTTGTCACATCAGTGTATATATATCAGATATACAATATATCTACTCAGATCCTGTTGACGATAACTCCTCAATTCATTATCTTCCACTATGCTAGAAACTGTTTATTCTAATCAATGTTGTAAATACTCAGATGTTCTCCATTTCATGTGGCATCTATTGCACTTTGGTCCTTCCTGGGAAAGGGATCCCTCACATGTGGCTCTCTCTGAAGTTTCTACATCCCTTTTTGGTAGTTTTTCCTTACTGTTGTTGAGGGTTAAGGACGGAGGATGTCACACCTTGTTAAAGCCCTATGAGACAAACTGTGATTTGTGAAATTTGATTGATTGATATCTGCTCATTCGAACTTTCTTCAGAGTTTTATCAAGGGGGTGGCTGGATAAAGTCCAGAGGCTTGCACATTTGCATTCCTCCCTCCGGTTAATGTCAGCAGATTGTCCCATGTTCATGATCTATAAATGGTTGTATTTATATATCGCTTTTCTAGTCTTGGAGACCACTCAAAGCGCTTTACACAGTTTGCCATTCACACACACATTCATACATACAGTGCATCTATGAGTAGCACTTTTTTTTTTTGTTCTATGGGGAAATTTGGGGTTCAGCAACTTGCCCAAGGACACTTTGGCATGCAGATGGGAAGACTGGGGATTGAACTTCCAACACTCTGGTTTGATGATGACCGCTCTACCCTTCAGCCAAAGCCACCCTGCAGCTATAAGCTATAAGACATGTTGGACAGACACAGATAGTCACATGGTTTCCAGCCAGCACTCAGGCTTGAGCCTATAGTATTTGTGTTGGAGACGGTGCGGCCTGGGGGTGAGTGAGTGTGTCCTCTCAGAGGCTGCAAATATAGAAAGCATGTGGCCCCCCCTTAATAGGGTGTCTGGCTCTTATGTAAGCGGCTCTGGTTTCCACTATAACATGTTCACCTGGACAGGGAGGGTATGTACCATATGGCGCAAACACTGTCTGTGACACTGTGCAAACACTTGCAGACTGTTGGGGTATTATTGAGCAAACTTGTGGTAGTGCATTTTCATGAGCTTTTACAGAATATTTTTGTTTGCACCCACCTTTAGCTTCACATTTGAACAGTCAAAAGCTGTTACTCACTCACAGTAGAGGGTGGTGGGCAGCTAGGGGTGTAGCGTTTAAAGGTCGATTGTCTAAGATTGAGGTGAAAGGGATCTATTGGCAGAAGTTGAATGTAAAATAATCCCTAGTGTGTTTCATCTAAATTGTATGAATTGTTGTTTTCTTTATCCTTGAACGGGCCCTTTATATCTCAATGCTTTATATTTACATCAGGAGCGGGTACTCTCTATGGAGGCCACCATGTTTTTTAGATTAGCCCAAATTGGACATACTAAACACCTCACGTTTTAATGACAACTGAAGGCTACCACAGCTTCTCCTTCGTGTTTGGAAGGGGAGGATGAGTTGAGGGGTGTTAACCTGCAACATGCAACTTCACCACTAGATATAACAAAATTCTCCACACTGAACCTTTAAGAGCTTTTGTTTGCTTGAAATCTTCCTACAAGAAATGTGTTAAGAAGAGATTATCTTCTGTTCCACATCGTTTGTAGTCGGCAAGCTGCTTCAGTGTACACTGTACATAAAATCATAACAATGGTTAGCGATTCATTTAATAATCGATTAATAATCAGTTATTCCAATAATCATTGCAGCTCCACGATAATGTGTCATTTTCGCACAACTAGAACATCTCAAACACCAAACACTCTCTTATAATCACTCAATTAAAGCTTCAAATGGGGTTTCTGAACAACCACAGATGACAAAATAGTTTTACCCTTTGGGGGTAGACAGGTAGCTATAGATAGGTCAAATAAAAAGAAATTCTACAAACAAAATTACACAACTCAATGTGTTAAATTACAAAGTGCTTTGCTCTGTCTCATTTAGTTTTTCATTAATAGAGACACATGCTTCAACATAGACAATAAACTGCATTTCTCAACAGTTTTTAACAGAAATGTACGTGTGTTCTTACTTCGTCAATCAGCAGTATGCATTATTTGACATTTTTCTGCATTTGATGACACTCTGGTCACTCATCAAGAGTCCTTTGACTGTTCAAGGGAGGAATTTGGCTGATCACATTTCAATGGGCAAAACAAAGATCAGTTAAAGCAAGTTCCTGAAATTATATTGGTGATAAAGTTTTATTGGATGAAGAGGGAAACATCAGTCTTTGCTAGAACATCTGTTCAAAAGGTTAATTCCATTAGCTTGCTTTTGAAGCTGTGGACTTTCTTGAGCAGCTTTGCTCCATCAAGCTCCAGAACGTTTGTGGAATACTTTAAAGGTGTTCTTGAATGTCTTGGGATACTCAAGGTTGAGCCCGTAGATCAATCCCATCAACAGCATACATGCCTTGGTTCGGTTTCTACACCCCCCTTGATCCAAGTATCCAATTAGGGATGCATTGTTATTTTAAGCTTATTTTCAACATTGGTAATGAGCTGAGACTAGTGTGATGAGAAGGAGAAGAGATGACAAGGACAGGGGATGAGAGATCCATTTACAAAAGTATAATTATCTTCAAAGCATTGACACAAAACAAGATGACCATGTGAGTACCTTAACTTGATCAATCAAGAGCAATGATATTACTATAACTAAGATATTACAATCATTATCGTAATGTTTAAATCCTTATTAATGGAGAAAATACTACATTTGTGGGTCTCTCCCAGCTTGCTGGTGATTCACAAGGCATTCTGGCTACCGCTTCGTTTGAAGTGAGGGTCGGAAAAATCTCAGTTTTGAGGGCTATAAAGCCCTACCCCTTAGCCTTAGCCCTCAGTACCAACAGGTATTGGGACAGCCTTCCCCCTACACGTGAACATGCAAAACAAAGGGGACGGGCTAGGGCCAAGGGGTGAAATGAGATCGGGCCTTACTGTTGAGGTCAAAAGTGTGATTACACTTAGGTTGAAGTGATTTCAAATATTTTTTACAGACAGATTATTCCACTTCATTATAATTCCATTGGGTCAGAAGTTTACATGAACGATGTGTGAAAAGTGATGCCATTTCCTGTGCGCAGTCCCTCAAGCCAAAGATAACCGTCCTAACCATGAGGCACAGGGGTGTCAGGCAGCATCATGTTGTGGGGGTGCTTTGCTCAAGAAGGGATTTGTGCATGTCACAAAATAGATGGCAGGATATAGCATCACTATTCAAGCTAAAATAGATTCATCTCTAGGGTTTGCATAAACTAATTCTAAACATTTAGTCCAAACCCTTACGCCCACAGATACATCTCCAATTGAATCAAATGATGGCAATAACCTAGCAGAAGCTTCAAAAGCCATGACATAATTTCTCTGGAATTTTCCAAATTGTTTAAAGGCAGCTTAAATCTATGAAAACTTCTGACCCAGTTGAAATGCAATTTAGTGAATTATAAGTGAACTTATGTCAA